TGACAGTGTAAATAAAGGATCACAGTCAAACAATGGCTGAGGTGTAGACAGGATGGGATTCAGTTGATGTTCACGTGATCTTAGACAAAGACTTTAAATCAAGCATCACCAATCAAGACAGAATAAAATGAATGGGAAACAGTGCTTTTCCTTACCAAACTACAATTTGACAGAACAAGTACAACATTTCACTAACACAAATACAATCCAAAAAACATACACATATTTCATGCCTGAAATTTACATAGACACAAATCTCAAATACACATATAAATCACAAAATACATGCACACAACCCAATACGTACACAAACATGAACACATACAAACCCTCAAAACTATGCATACACTTCCCCAAATGCACACATATACAGCAGCTACCAGACACCAGTCACCACCAAACACACCATAAAACCATAAGATATAGGAACAGAATTGGGCCATTCGGCCCATCGTGTCATGTCCACCATGTAGTCATGGCTGAGATGTTTCTCGACCCCATTCTCCTGCCTTCTCCCAAAAATATTAGTCTTAGCTTCTGTTGTTACAAACCCAAGGACACTGCCGCTTCCCCACCAGATATACACACATGCGTGGGCGCATGAGAGAGACGTCCTGGACACGTACAAAAATAACTCAAACAGATACCACTCAGCCAAACAAGCACACTGTTCTAAACATAGGCAAATACCTCTCAATCACATGCTTGCACAGAACACCCCAAAACACATCCAATATACATATACCATCCCAAAAATACGTGTACTCCCTAAAAGACATGCATACTCCCAAGTATTTAAGCACATCCCCGCGCGCCCGCGCCCCCCCCCCCCCCACACACACACACACACACACACACACACCCACACACACACACAATTCCAAGTACATATAGACATTTCCAAACACATGGCCCTCATAACAGAAGCATTCCCTTTAAAACACACATCGACATACCTATGCCAACGCGAGACAGGTACAATACCTAAAATAGTCACATGATGCTGCCAGAAGTATGCGGTGAGCTTCAATCGACTTCCCCTCTACGATTAGGGTGACATCAAATAAGCTTGCGCTGTTCCGAAGTGCAACTAGTCCATCCAGCAGAGACTGGGAATGTGCTGAGCTCTGATAGGTTTGGCTGACTTTTTTCTGACTTTGTTGTTTGTCCTTGCCCTCTTCTGCCATGGTCATACAAATGCTGCCAATGTCATCCAGATTTCAGCAAAAAGTGTTTTACCAACAGGCAGTTTTCCCGCAATGACTCTTCTGAAAAAGATTGAAAATTTCTCAAAATTATTCAGCAGGCAAGAGACTAGGCTTCTTTGGCTGGAATGTCACAAATAAAGACTAGAACTGCATGATTACTTGATCATAGCTAGGTGGATTGGTGCCTTGGGTTAACAAGGAGGGAAAATAAGTACTAACGTTCCCAACCTAGCCACTACTGTTTGACCCTGCTGGAAAAGAGCACTTGTGGCCATCCATTAAAGACTATATCAAATATGCTCTAACATCCATTTCTGTGATCAGAAATGACAGGCTCACAAATGTAGTATAATTGCATGAGTGAATTTTTGCAAATCATTACTTCAAGAGGGGAAGGGAGAAATTGAGGGCACAAAGGAGAGGAAAAGGGTATAAAGATGAGGTTAGTGAAAGTCAAGGAGTAATTCCATTCCTTTGTCAATGATTCAATTTTCCTCTCTGCTCACCGTCACAGGCTGAACCAGACATTTTGAAACGTGTATCATACCTCACATTCAGCTGAGTTCTGACTGTGATTCTTTCAATTATAAAGAACTCTGATTGATGCTAACTTTGCCCAACCTTACCGATACTCTCTCATTTTATTGACTCCAAGAAAGCAAAGAGCCAAGTTGATCTTGATCTTCTTTGGTATTCAGTAGGCAGTCTAATGATATCAGATCAATAAAGGCAGGAGGAACCTTGAACCTAGTCAAAAAAATGAAAGCAGCATATGGCAGGTATAGACAGTTGGAGTCAAGTGAATCCTTCAAGGAATATAAGGGCAGTAGGAGTATACTCAAGAGGGAAATCAGGAGGACAAAAAGGGTTCATGAGATATCTTTGGCAAATAGGGTTAAGAAGAATCCAACGAGATTCTACAAATTCATTAAGGACAAAAAGTATCTAGGGACATAATAGGGCCCCTTAAAGATCAACAAGATCATCTATGTGTGGAACCACAGGACATGGGTGAGATACTAAATGAGTATTTCGCATCAGTATTTACTGTGGAGAAGGGCATGGAAGCCAGAGAACTTGGGGAAATAAACAGTGATATCTTGAAAAGTGTCCATATTACAGAGGTGGTGGTGCTGGACATCTTAAAACGCATAAAGGTTGATAAATCCCTGGGACCTGATCGAGTGTATAGAACTTTGAGGGAAGGTAGGGAAGTGATTGCTGGGCCTCTTGCCGAGATATGTGCATCATCGATAACCATGAGTGAGATTCTAGAAGACTGGGAGGGTGGGTATGTCAGTCGTGGGTAAGTTGCTGGAGGGAATTCTGAAGGACAGGATTTACATGTACTTGGAGAGGCAAAGACTGATTAGGGACAGTCAACATGGCTTTGTGTGTGTGGGAAATCACGTCTCACTAACCTGATTGACAAAGAAGGCTGATGAAGGCAGAGCAGTGGACATTGTCTATATGGACTTCAGCAAGGCATTCGACAGGGGTTCACATGGCAGACTGGTTAGCAATGTTAGCTGGCATGGAATACAGGGAGAGCTAGCCATTTTGATGCAAAATTGGCTTGAAGGTAGGAAACAGAGGGTGGTGGTAGAGGGTTGTTTTTCAGACTGGAGGCAGTGTGTCGCTGCTGGGTCCACTGCTTTTTGTCACTTTTATATACAAGTGATTTAGGTGTGAATGTAGGAGGAATGGTTAGTAAGTCTGTAGATTACACCAAAATTGGTGATGTAGTGGACAGTGAAGAAGGTTATCTTAGAGTATAGCGGAACCTTGATCAGATGGACCAAGGAGTTGCAGATGGATTTTAGTTTAGATAAATGTGAGGTGCCGCATTTTGGAAAGACAAATCAGGGCAGGACTTAATACACCTAATGGTAGGGTCCTGGGGAGTGTTGTCAAACAACGAGATCTTGGAGTGTGGGTTCATAGATCCTCGAAAGTGGAATCGCAGGTAGACAGGGTAGTGAAGAAGGTGTTTGGTATTCTTACCCTCATTGGTCAGTGCATTAAGTATAGGTGTCAGGATATTATGTTGTGGCTGTACAGGACATTGGTTAGGCTGCATTCGAAATACTGCATTCAATTCTGGTCTCCATGCCAAAGGAAAAATGTTGTTAAACTTGAAAGGGTGCAGAAAAGATTCACAAGGATGTTGCTGGGGTTGGACATTTTGAGCTACAGGCAGAGGCTGAATAGGCTGGGGCTATTTTCTCTGGAGCGTCAGAGGCTGAGGGGTGACCTTATACAGGTTTACAGAATCATGAGGGGCATGGATAGGTTAAAAGGGCAAGGTCTTTTCCCCAGGTAGGAGAGTCCAAAATTAGAGGAAATAGGTTTAAGGTGACAGGGAAAAGGTATAAAAGGGACCTGGGGGCAACTTTTTCATGCAGAAGGTGGCACATGTATGGAATAAGCTGCCAGAGGAAGTGGTGGACGCTGGTACAATTACAACATTTAAAAGGCATCTGTATGGATACATGAATAGGAAGGGTTTAGAGGGATATGGGCCAGGTGGCAAATGGGACCACATAGGTTTAGGATATCTGGTTGGCATGAATGAGTTGGACTGAAGGGTCTGTTTCCACGCTGTATGACTCTTTAAGACTTGCCTGCACCACATGGTTCAGCACAACACTGAGGCATCATCGTTATAAAGCTGTAACTTTAGATCATTCTTATCCATATCCAAATGTTAGAGACATTTACTTTAAAATGTAACATTTACTACAATTCACAAAACAGGTTTAGTAAGAGGTTTCACTTCTTCATGAAGTCTAACTACACTACAGTGAAAAATCTATACAAACAGGAAAGTTCATCACTCCAACAAACAACTTTAAATCACTATCCCATCTTTTCTTCAAGCTGTCAACTCTTAATGAGTTTTATGGCCCACAGTCACCTACTGCCTTTCCTCCACTACCTTACCATAACTGTACGAGCCCGCTTGACCATGAGGGACACCATAGAATGTACTGGAAAAGATGATAACAAGATCAGTCAAAGCCAAAGGTTCACACAGTTTGCTCAGAGAAACTATAACTTAACAAGTTACTTTGGAAAACAAAAATAGATATTGCTGGAAAAGCTCAGCAGGTCTGGCAGCATCTGTGGAGAGAAATCAGTAAACATTTTGGGTCGAGTGACATTTCCTCAGAACTGACAGACCTGAGGAGCTTTTCCAGCGATTTCTATTGTTGTTTCTGATTTACAGCATCTGCAGTTCTTTCTGTTTTTATTTCATAAGTTACTAAGTGAGTTATGATCTGGAATATGGTGCTTGAAAAGATAGTGGAAGCAGGTTCACGGATGACTTTCAAAAGCGAATTGGATAAGCACTTGAAGGGGAAAGTGTGCATATAATGCAGTATTTGGCACTAATTAGGTCTCTCAAAGATCTGGGACAAAAGTACAATGGGTCAATAGGTCTCCCTTTGCTGTCTCATTCAATTATAACATTCAAAAACGATAAACTGGAAAAAGGTGCTAAGACAAGGTAAGGTGGCTCAGTGGTTAGCACTGCTACCTCACAGCGCCAGGGACCCGGGTTCAATTCCACCCTTGGGCGACTGTCTGTGTGGAGTTTGCACATTCTCCCCGTGTCTGTGTGGGTTTCCTCCGGGTGCTCCAGTTTCCTCCCACAGTCCAAAGATGTGCAGGCTAGGTGGACTGGCCATGCTAAATTGCCTGTAGTGTTCAGGGATGGGTAGATTAAGTGGGTTATAGGGAGATGGGTCTGGGTGGGATGCTCTGTGGGTCGATGTGGACTTGTTGGGCCGAAGGGCCTGTTTCCACACTGTAGGGATTCTATGATCTATGATATGCAGACAGAAAGACAAGCACTTACTTCTATCCAATAGGTACAATGATTCTGGAAATGCATCATTGTTGTGAATTTCACTTTGCAATACAGCGCAACACAACCATCACCTTCAGAGAACAGGAAGAAAGTTTGTGTAGAAACGTTCCTCACTGTCCTAATTGTGATGAACTCCAAATCACAGTTTCACTTTCAATCTCCTTTCATACACATTAAACAAAATAATGCCATTTGATTGATCATGGTTTAGGATTTCAAGGATAATCAGTCAATCTTTACATGTCACACTTAAAAGGGGAGACTACCTAGCTTCAAAAAAAAAAAATTGAAATTGAAATATATATATAAACGCTCTTCATGAATTATTCCAGAAGTATTAAGTCCAAATGAATTTTTTCTATTTCTAGCTAATGCTGGATTAGCTTAATTCAACCACTATTGCACCTTTAATACAGTAGAAGAAATGTGGCCTTAGTGAAGTGGTAGAGATTTGCCTCAAAGTTAGAGGTTGTGGGTTCAAATTCCACCCCAGAGACTAAATACATAATCTAGGTGACACTTCTCTGTAATACTGCTCTACTGCCAGAGGTGTGAGCTTTCATATTAAATTTTCAACCAAGGTCCCATCAACCTTCTTAATTATGGATAAAAGATCCCAAGCCCAATGTGTTCAGGAGATAGGAGTCCTCCCTTGTATCGTGGTCAGTATCGGTTTGTTTACCAATATCACCAAAACAGATCATCCAGATATTACCACATTGCTGTTTGTGCAACCTTGCTATGTGCAAACGACTGCTGCATTCTGACAGAATAACAATTACTAGACTTTAAGTACTTTATCAGTTGGAATGTGTTGTGGGACACCTTGAGGTTATGGAACTCCTCTTATTAATGGAGATTTTTCCTTCAGCCAAGCTGCAGAAGAGCAAACTGAAAAATCAGCTGAAATGCAGGAAATAAAATAGGTGAAATCCTTTAGGCCTATTCTGCATTCAGTATTACTGTAACCCTGAAGCTCTCACCAAACTACGTTGGTGCCTGCATTTGAAGAGGGGATTACGTTGTAAATACTAAATGCAAATCCAGGGCAGAATGCCCATTAAACCTTAGCATTCCTGCTTCTACAGCTAGCATTTAACAGCTTTAGTTACTTCAGCACCTGAACAGCACAAAATGTAAACCACTCTTCTGGATTTGGGGTGACATTATTTGATGAAAGTGATGTGACAGCGATACTTTGAACAAAGTCTGTTTTTTTTTTAAAAAACTGTCACCTTTACCAAATTAGAAGGTGGTGATGATGGCCCACTTGAAAATTTGTGTTGTGCAATTGAGCAGTATAGTGATAGATAAAGAAAAGGTGCTAAAAAGAAGAAGGCTGGCAACACCCAAAATAGAGAAGTCACCAGACCTGGATGGGGTGCATCCTAGATTGTTGAGAGGGGTAAGGGAGCAAATCGTGGAGCTTTGACATAAATTTTTGAAGCCTTTCTGAACACAGGATTAGTCCCGAGAGACTGAAGACGTGACACTGCTGTTGAGGAAAGGGGCAAAGGATAACACAGGAAACTACAGACCTCTCAGCTTGACATCAATAGTAGGAAAACTGATGGAGGCCATAATAAGACAAATATACACTTAGAGAAAAATAAGTTAATACTAGACAGTCAACATGGCTTTGTCGAGGGCAGGTCATGTCTGATAGATTTAAACGAGTTACTTGGTGAGATAACACAGGCAGTGGAAGAGACAGTAATGCTGTGGATACAGTATATATAGACTGTCACAAAGCATCTGTTATGGTGCCACGTGCAGGTTGGTTCGCAAATTAGAAATATTTGAGATTGATGGGTCCTTGGCAGTGTGGATTAGAAGTCGGCCAAAAGATAGGAAACAGAGGGTAGGTATAGATGGGCATTTCTCAGACTGGAGACGAGTTGGAAGTGGTGTTGCCCAGAGATAATGTCAGGACCTTTGCTTTTTCTGATTTGGAGATGGGTGTAGAGGGCAAAATCTTTAAATTTGCAGATGACACTCAGCTAGGGAATTATGAGGATAACACCAAGCAATTTTCAGAGGGACACAGATAAGTTGGCCAAACAGACAGATGAAATTCAATGCAGAGAAATGTGAGGTAATGCATTTTAATAGAAGAAACATGGGCAGACAACACAGGCTCAATGGTAGAACTTCAGGAGGAGTACAGGAGCACAGGGACCTCGGGGTACATATACATGATTCCCTGAAGGCAGCCAGGCAAGTTGAAATAATTATTAAAGCTCCTTCAGTTTATATGTAGAGGCATAGAGTACAAAAGCAAGAAGGGATGCCACACCTCTACAAATCATTGATCAGACTACGTTTCAATATCGTGTTCTTTTCTGGACACTTATTTGACAAAGGATGTTAAATCCCTGATACAGTTCAAAGAAGATTTATTAGACAATACCAGGATTGAGAGATTTTAGATACTAAGAAAGATTACAGAAATTGACCTTATTTTGCTTGGAGCAGAGGTTAAGAGGTGACCTGATTGAGGGGTTTAAAATTATCAACAATTTTGACAGGATAAAGAAGGACATTCTGTTTCCACTAGTTAGTATGTCAGTACCTAGCAGCCACAATTTCAAAACTGTCAGCAAGAGAGGTCTGAGTGAGATGAGGAGAATCTTCTTTACTCAGAGTCTTGTCAAGATTTGGAATGTGTTGCCTGGGAGAGTGGTGGAGGCGGGTTCCATAGGTTTAGAAGAAAGCAGGATGTACATTTGGAAGTGATGAATTAAGAGGGCTACGGAGATGGAGCTGGAGAATGGGACTAGCTGAGTAGCTCTTTCCGGAGCTGGTACACACACGATGTGTCAAATGGCCTCCTTCTGTTCTGAAAAGTTCTATGATTCTATGAATAAAATTTAACCAAAAATATACATTACTTGCAACTTACCTCTCAAACTTTCAAATGCTTATCAATGTGTGTTTTAGGATTAGGAAAACAGTCCTAATCTCTTTCTGCTCCAGGTCTCCAAAGCACCAAAACTCCCTTTCTACCATAGCACTGCACCCAATTGTACACTGGCATCACTGAGTTTGAGAAGAAATTTGGCCTTGGGAGTCTTTGATCTGACAAAGCTCACTTCTGCTACTATCTACATAAATGGCCACCACTGGAGAACTAGAGTCAATCCCTGCCATGTAATTGTGAACAGTTACGGATGAAGACGTTTGAAAATCTTCTGCCCGACAGGCTGTGGATAGATACTGGGACAACAGAAGCTTTCGTGACAGCAATGGATAGACTCCATTAAGAAAGAATGCAAAGAAATATTGAACAAAGATGGATACATGGAGCTCAGATGCACAACAGCCATGACTGAATTGAACGGAATCACGGTTCTGAGGGGTTGAATGGTGTCCTTCTTTTCCTAATGTTATGAGGATATGAATTGCACTGTCTGAAAGTGTAGCGGCAGCATATTCAATTGTAATTTTCAAATGAGGACTTGATATAATGTTTTCAAAGAACCAGCAATATCATGAAAGGCACATACCCCATCCACCCATTGTGCTGTATAATCAAGAGAAACAAATTTGTTAAAAAAAATGAAGTCCCTCTTATTTGACCATGGAATATGAGAATGGAAGAACAGTACCAAATAGTAGCCATCACTCCCCATGGACAGGACTGCTGTTACACCAATTTAATACCAAAATAATCTCAAAAGGTGCATTCCCCAGATATTAAACTGAACATAGGAAATTATTTCTTTCAGATTAACTTTAGAAATTTTGTTGGTGAAAATCTTACAAAACCAGTAACTCTACAAAACAAAATCACTGCATCTTAAAACGCATCTCAACTTTGTCAGCAGAGCACCTTGTAGAGGTTGAACAATAGCAGGAGAATTCAGGTGGAGGTTAACTGAGAAGTAACCTAGCTTTTAAGACTGAACTATGTTGAAACCGTAAGAGATCTACACAGGGAAGTCTAATACATGTGGGGAAGGGAAGTCTACAACTATCAATCAAATAACAAAGTGTGCACTAAGTTGTACAAAGAAAGATTTGTTCCAAGAACTTTGAATAATTTCTGAAATTCAGTATTCAACTGTGATTGTCTCTCTTTGGGACATTGTTAGCACATTAGGCAATTTTGGGGGAACGTCACTACATTCACCACACAGTAATTCTTCCACCATGTCACCCAAACCAAGCACCAGCCAGAAAAGGTAACATGCATCGAGCATTAACTTTCTAATGGTAATTTTCAAACTTATATATGTGATAATGAAAATGTTCATATTATAATTTTGAGTTCCAGGTGTCAAAGAGTGTGACTGGAATGCACTCTTCTGCTCAAAACCTTGTAATAGCAACAACATGCTGCATTTCCATAGCCCCTTTAACACAGAAATATATCCAAAGCACTTTGCAGAGAAAAATCAAAGGAAAATAGATATTGAGCCAAAAACTACTGAGTGGGGTAACTAAAAGGCTGGCTAAGGAGTGGATTTTAATCAGAAGGAAGGAGTTGAGAACCGGAGGTGTTTATAGAGTAAACTCTAGAGCATGGGCGTGGGTATGAGAGTACAAGCTCCAACAGCATGTTAACTAAATAGGTTCCTTATTATATATTTGTATTTAAATAAATAATTTACATTAGTTTGAGCACCTTTTAAGGAAAGACAGCATTATTCTCAGTGCTGCACGAAGTAACAGATTATGTACTCATACAATATCCTTGAAGTGGTACTGAACTAAAATCTTTTTGACTCAGAGGTAAAAGTACTACCACTGAGTCACACTTCTGAAATTTAAAATCAAAAGCCTTTTGAGAGTTCCACAATGCCTTTCAGACTGACATTAAACAGATTGAATCTGGACCTACCCAACTACAAGATCTGGCAAAGTGTCTCCACTTGAATCATGAATTCCCTTCTCTTTTTCACATGCTGACAGATCTTCTGAGTAATCCCAGCATCTTGTACTTATTTTGACAGTTACTGTCTCTTGTTTCAAGTCTCTGCAAGCACAATTTTCAGTGGCACTCAACCAGAAAGAGAGATTAACTATTTCAGCAAGTATAAATGCCCACTACAATGTCCATTGCATGGTAGTTTTACATGTTTGTCTTTGTTGAAAATGCATTAAGTTCAGAAGGAGATCCTTGAGATAACGTATTCCAGATCTGCTCTTTTCTCACTTCAGTACATTGCTTAGATATGCAGTCATGATTACTTCATGTGTACTGGTCAGAGGACATCCCAAAGGCTGAAACTTCTATCATCCAGGATCCATATATCTGGGTCTTTGACTGTGGAGAGTTGTGATACCATTGTCCACTAGTCACGACCAAAGCTACGGAAAAGAAAACATCAGCCACATAAGGAAATGCAGTTGGATTTAGAGCACAGAAAGAGGTCATTCAGCCCACCTAACCTATGTCAGTGTTTTTAACTGCACACTATCCCCTGCCTCCCAATTCTGGCTACTTCTTACCACCCAACCCCCATTTCCCTTAATTCCTTTGACTCATGCAAAATGTTCATCTTGTTTTTTGTGCACTTTCTTTGCAACTGTAACTTTATAAAGCTCACTCTGTTCAATCACCTTGTCATATTATGTATGTTAATGTGCACAAAACAAAAAACTTTTCACTGTACTTAAGTACATGTGGCAATAAATAAAATCAAGCCTCCCCTAAATGCATCAATGCTCATTGTTCCAAGTGCTTCAAGCAGTCATGAGTCCATGTTTTCAAAACTCTGTGTATGGAATTTTCTCTGATGGAAGGTCATTGACTCGAAATGCTAATGCAATTTCTCTCTTCACCGATACTGTCAGAATTGGTGAGTAACCCAACCAAACTGGAACTGAGTCAGTGATGATTTAACAATAGACAAATGGGACTTGGGGCTGGACTTTCATGGTACAGGGGCCTTTAGAAATGGTAGTCAGATTTGATTTCAGAATTCCTGCTTCCAACCAGTGCAGGATAAGAATATGGGTAAACCCGCACACCCACCTCCCACCATCCATTGCAGGGATTTCATTCAGCATTTCAAACACAAAGCATCAAATCTGTTAGAAGACTTGGTTTGTGGCACCATAGAGAAGTCATGAACCAGGAGGGAAACTTGGTCCCCATTCACACCCACACACTCAAAAAAAATACAGCCATTCAACACTTCTCTTGAACGACAATGACAACTTTATGCAAAAGTAAGACAGGCAATCACAATTAGTTATTCATAGCATCAATTTCAAAAAGCTATTCTCCACTTTTAATTTTATGTTACCAAACACGTAGGTACTAAAGATCTTCAAAGGAAGATTGGGTTACTACAGGTTCTAAATAAATCATTTAAACAAAGCTATTGCTCCCCTCTGTAGTTGTGTAAACATTGCTGAATGAACTAATTTGATGAGTCAATCTTGAGTCTTAGTCAATCATTCATAATGACGCTACCTGTAAAAACATTCTATATAAAGCCTTATTATGAATGCTTGACAAAGCTCCAAAAATGACTGAGCCACTTAGCTCAACAGGCAATGTTTAAGCAGCCACAGAGAGGAGTGATAGCTTTGTCTAGGTGGTTTAATTTACCTTGTAAAAAGTTATTATTTCTTTGACATGCTTTTTTCAATGCTTGTGTATTTGTGTTATTACTGACAAAATGAAAAAGTGTGAAGTAGCTTGACGTCACCAATACTATAAATGTTTGTGATGGACTGACTTTTTTTTTAAAATTGAAGTTGTAAGGCTTTATTTGCCAGTTGCTTTATTTCAACAGTAGGTTTTCAAAGATAGTAGGAACTGCAGATGCTGGAGAATCTGAGATAACAAGGTGTAGAGCTGGATGAACACATTTGGCCAAGCAGCATCAGAGGAGCAGGCCTGCTGTGTTCATCCAGCTCTACACCTTGTTATCTCAGATTCTCCAGCATCTGCAGGTCCTACCATCTCTAAGTCAGAGTCAGCATGTTTTCCTGGACAAGTTTCTATCACCAGAGGAATATTGGACAGAAATGTTCCAGATTTTTTTTAAAAGTATGGTTCGTGTAATGGTTTTTCTGCTGTCCCACAAGAATGCATCTCACCTGGGCTATGTCTTGACTAATGCAGGAGGGTATCACAACATTGTGGAATGTTTACTGAACATGGTCCAACTGACCTCCTTATGTTTTGTTCATGCACATTGATATCAGAGTCTACCTGGCAACACGAGCGGTGGAGGATTCTCATCAGTATGCACTTAGACTTTGAACCCCATGCCTCATACAGACAACGTGGGAGGGGTTCAGGAGGATTATGGAAATAAGTGGATTACATATGAATCAGAGTGGCAATGGGACTTGGAAAGGTTAAGGGATGGGAGGAACAATGGGAACTGAAGGAATTTTGGAACTTGGAGAGGTTTGGGAATGGGAGCAGCAATTCAAATAGGTGGATTTAAGGAACCAGGAAGGGTTAAAGGAATTTGTGTAGCTTAAAAAGAGGAAGGGGAGGGAGGGGGAAGAGGTCAGATTTGAATATTTAAGTAGGTCTCAGGTAAGACGTAACTCAATGCACCATCTGAAATCAGTGATAAGGGCTTTTGTAGTAGTGTCCCTACATCTAGACCAAGTGACCCACATTCAAGTCCCACCTGCCCCAGAGCTGGATGATACCATCTCTGAACAGGTTGATTAGAAATAAGATTTAAAAGAAAATAAATGACAAGGGCTCTTGTGGTAGTGTCCTTACATGTAGACCAGCAGACCCAGGTTCAAGTCCCACCTACCCCAGAGGTGGGTGACAGCGTCCCTGAGCAGGTTGATTGGAAAAATACAATTAAACTAACGGCCGAGATGGCACTATTTATTATTTTTTGTTGTTGTGGTGGTGTGCGCTGAAACAATAATAGGAACAGCAGAAAAGCCCCTTCAATAGTCGAAAGGAGAAGGGAAGCAAATATACAACTGAAAACGCGACCATTAGCGTTACAGGGCTGGGGGTGGGGGTGAATCTGGAAGGGAGTACGGGCTCGGAGGCTAATCCAGTGAGGAGTTAATGAGTACCGCCTACCTTGGTTAAAGAGAGTCCGGGCCCCGAGGCCTGGGCCTCCCGGCCCGCCGGCCGCCATTTTGTCTCTCCGCGCCGTGCCCGCCCGATCACAAAATGGCGGCCGGCGGTGACGCAGGCGGGAGCACAGCCTCTCCTGAGGCGAGCACATCACAGAGGGCGACGGGCCGAGTAGCCGGCTATCAGTATCAGCCTCTGCTCCTCCTGTTCTTGTATTTATTCCCGGAGGAATTAGGAAGGAGGAGCTTTGTCGTCCCCCACCCAAACTCCGTGTGAATCAGCCTGCTCGGCAAGACCTGCATTCTGATAGCGCCTCTCACCTCCGCACAGCTGGTTTTGCGGGCAGACGACGCCAGGTTGGAAACACGCCGCCCAGTTTCACTTATCTTCAACAGGGAGTTATAATCCTAGAGTCCCCTACGCTGTGGGCACAGGCCATCCGCACAGCGTCCCACCCAGACCCATTAACCCTCTACCCACCCCATGGACACCATGTGCCAGTCCACCCCAACCCGCACATCTCTGGACTGTGGGAGGAAACCCACGCAGACATAGGGAGAAGGTGCAAAGTTTACACAGTCACCCGAGGGTGGAATCGAACCTGGATCCCTGGTGCTGTGAGGCAGCAGTGCTAGCCACTGAGCCACCGTGTTGGCCCTGGGAATAAACTGTTGGACAGGCCATAAGATAGCTGCACAGAGTTCAATGCCTCATCCCCATGACCGTATCCCTGAAGGGTCAGCCTGACATTTCCTCCTGTGGGAATTGAGCCCAGAACACACTGACCAACATGCAAGGGCACATGTGTTGTTATGTACTGCTCTGAGACATGATTAGCATCAACTCAGCCCAGCTTCACAACAGTATTACAAACTACCCAGATCTTGCAGTTTACTACACTCCCTCCCTACTTGAAAATACGCTTTCAAGTTTTAAATGCTGTATATAGTAAGTTCCCAGAATACACTATGACCTTGGAGCAGAGAAGGCTGAGAAGAGACATGATTAAAATGTACGAAATTATGAAGGACATGACAGGGTGGACAGGAAGCAATATTTCATCTTGATGAAGGGGTCATTAACCAGATTTAAGATAAGGGTTGGAAGGTTTAGAGGAGATGTGAGGAAAAATCTTTTCGCTCAGAGGATGGTAGGAATCTAGAACTCACTACCTGTAAAGGTGGTAAAGACAGAAACCCTTCATGACATCTAAGAAGTATTTAGATGTCCACTGGCAATGCCAAGGCATACAAAGCCAAGTGCTGACAAATAGGATTATAATAGGTGATTGTTCTTGACCAATGCAGACGTGATGGATTGCATGCTTGTTTTTATTGTATTTGCAACCAAAACGTATATGACTGTTACTGCTTGTTGCACATGAAGTGTGTTTGACGTGTTTCGGTCTGGCGTATGGTGCAGGTGTGAGATTGATATGGCATACTGCTGTATATGCATTACAGTCCAGTTAGCCTAATATTTGCTGCCGTTGACTACAGAGTCATAGAGTTGTACAGCACGGAAACAGATCCTTCAGTCCAACTCGTCCATGCCGACCAGATATCCAAAATTAATCCAGTCCCAGTTTCCAGCATTGGGCCTTATCCCTCTAAACCCTTCCTATTCATGTACCCATCCAGATGTTTTATAAATGTTGTACCAGTCTTCACCACTTCCATTCCATACATGCACCACCCTCTGAGTGAAAATGTTGCCCCTTAAGTCCCTTTTAAATCTTTCCCCTCTCACCTTAAACCCGAGCGACTCAGAGGGTGGCTGAGATTTGTCACAGTGGAATTCTGAGACATGATTAGCATGAGGTCAGCCCAATTTCATAACAGTATAACGAACTACCCAGATCTTGCAGTACACTACACTCCCTCCTTAGTTGAAAATATGCAGAGAACATCATTGATAAGAGCTATAGTGAAGTGGTCATTCCTAAGGTGCAGGCTGCAGGGAGCTGGGTGACCACCAGAAGAGGTAAAGGGGGAAGACAGATAGTATAGAGTTCCCCTGAGGCCGTTCCCCTCAATAACAGGTACACCGTTTTGGATACTGTTGTGGGAGGGATGACCTTTCAGGGGCTAGCAGCAGCACAGTCAGGTCAGTGGCACTGTGACTGGCTCTGAGGCTCCGAGGGAAAGGGTGCAGTCAGGCAGAGCGATACTGATAGGAGACTTAGTTGTGAGGGGGATAGACAGGAGATTCTGTGGCTGCAGAAGAGACACCGGGACGATGTGTTGTCTCCCGGATGCCAGGGTCAAGGATGTCTCTGAGTGGTTGCAGAACATTCTGAAGGGGGAAGCTGAACAGCCAGAGGTCATTGTGCACATCGGTACAAATGACGTAGGTAAACAAAGGATTGGGGCCCTGTGCAACGAGTATAGAGAGTTAGGTAAGAAGTTATAAAGCAGGCCCTCAAGGGTAGTGATCTCCGATGACTCCCAGTGCCACGTGCCAGTGAGGATAGAAATAGAAAGATAGGCCAAATGAATGTATGGCTGAGGAGCTGGTGTAGGGGGGCAGAGTTTTCAGTTCTTGGATCTTCTGGGGTAGAGGTGACCTGTACAAGAGAGATGGATTGCACTTGAACTGGAGAGGGTCCAATATCCTCGCGAGGAGATTTGCTTGTGTTACCCAGGAGGGTTTAAATTAGTTTGGCAGGGAGGCGAGACTCTGTAGAAGAGAGAGGCCATCAAAAAATCAGGAGAAAATATATTAGCCATGGAGAGCAAGTTTACTCTTCAGGATAGCCAGGGGCACAGGAAAGGGAAGGAAAAGACTTCTGGTTTAAAGTGCATTTATTTCAACGCACAAGGCCTGACTGGTAAGGCAGATGCACTCAGAGCATGGATTGGCCCCAGCGGACTGGGATATTATAGCCATAACAGAAACAGGGCTGAGAGAAGGGCAGGACTGGCAGCTCAGTGTTCCAGGATACAGAAACTACAGACGTGACAGAACTAAAGTAAGTGAGGAGGGGGAGTTGGTGTTTTGATAAGCGAGGACATAACAACAGGTCTTCGAGAGGATATTCTTAAGCACTGTTCTGAGGAAGGGTCACCAGACCCGAAAAGTTAACTCTGTTTTTTCCTTCCCGGGTGCTGCCAGACCTGCTGAGCTTTTCCAGCAACTTTGTTTTTGTTCCTGATTTACAGCATCCGCAGTTCTTTCGGTTTTTATCAAATGAGGCCATATGATTAGAACTTAGAAACAAAAAGGAGATGGTCACTCTGTTGGGACTGTATTGCAGACCCCAAATAGCCAGCGGGTACTAGAGGAGCAGATGTGTAGAGAGATTGCAGATACCTATAGGAATTACAGAGTAGCATTGGTTGGAGAGTTTAATTTCCTCTGTATTGACTGGGCTACCCAGGGTGTAAAAGGCCCTGATGGGGTGGAATTTGTCAAATGTGTCCAAGAAAGTTTCCAAAATCAATATGTAGAGGGCCCTACTTGGGAGGGTGCAACACTGGACCTCCTCTTAGGAAACGAAGTTGGGCAAGTGATTAAAGTGTCAATCAGAGAGCACTTTGGGTCCAGTGACCATAACTCTTTTAATTTTAACATACTTATGGAAAAAGATAGGACAGGTCCACAGGTTAAGGTTAAGAACTGGAGAGGGCCAGTTTTGGGGACATCAGGCAGGATCTAGCAGAGGTCGACTGGGTGAGTCTGTTTGAAGGAAAAGGAACGATTGGCAAATGCTTTTAAAAGTGTGATATCAAGAGTCCAGGTTAGGGTGAAGGGAAAAGCTGGCAGGTTTAGGGATCCCTGACTGATGAGGGATATTGAGGCTCTGGTCAGGAAAAAGAAGAAGGCATACATTGGGTTTAAGCTATCGGGCTCAAGTGAATCCCTAGATGACTATGAAAAGTGTAGGAACACACTCAAGGGAAATCAGAAGAACAAAAAGAGGGTATGAGATGCATCTGGCAGATGAAGTTAAAGATAATCTCAAGTGGCAAGGGAGAGAATAGATCATAGAATCCCTACAGTATGGAAACAGGCCTTTTGGCCCAACAAGTCCACACACCAATCCATCCCCCTATAACCCACCTAATCTCCACATCCCTGAACACGATGGGCAATTTAGCATGGCTAATCCACCTAACCTGCACATCTTTGGACTGTGGGAGGAAACCGGAGCACCCAGAGGAAACCGGAGCACCCAGCGGAAACTCACACAGACACAGGTAGAATGTGCAAACTCCACACAGACAGTCACCCAGCAGTGGAATTGAACCTGGGTCCCTGACGCTGTGAGGCAGCAGTGCTAACCACTGTGCCACCCCAAATTAGGGTCCCTTTAAAGATCAGCTTGGCCATCTATGTGTGGAGCCACAGGAGATAGGGGAGGTTTTTAATGAATATTTTTCTTTAGTGTTTACTGAGGAGAGAATCATGGATGCTAAGGAAATAATGGAAACAAGTTTTGGACCGCATACACAATACCAGGGAGGAGGTGTTTGCAGCCTTAAAACGCATTAAGGTGGATAAATCCCCTGGGCCCGATCAAGTCTATCTCCGGATGTTTTGGGAGGCTACGGAAGAAATTGCAGAGGCCCTTGCAGAGATTTTTGCTTCATCTTTAGCCACTGGTGAAGTTCCAGAAGACTGGAAAGTGGCTAATGTTGTTCAACATTGTTTAAGAAAGGTAGCAAAGACAAGCCAGGGACTACAGGCCAGTCAGCCTGACATCAATGGTAGGCAAGTTATTGGAGAGGATACTGAGGGACGGGGATCAACCAACATTTGGATGGTCAAGATCTGATTAGGGATCGTCGGCATGGATTTGTGCGCGGGAAGTCATGTCTAACAAATCTTTTAGAATTTTTCAAAGAGATAACCAAGAGGATGGATGAGGATAGGGCAGTGGATGTTGTCTATATGGAATTAGTAAGGTCTTTGACAAGGTCCCGTATGGCAGGCTAGTCATGAAGGTTAGGTCACATGCGATCCACGGAGAGCTAGCTAAATGGATTCAAAATTAGCTCAATGGTAGGAAGCAGAGGGTGATGGTTGAAAGTTGTTTCTTGGATTGGAGGCCTGTGACTAGTGGTGTGCCACAAAGGTCGGTGCTGGGACCTTTGTTATTTTTCATTTGCATAAATGATCTGGATGTGAATGTACAAGGCATGATTAGTAAGTTTGCAGATGATACAAAATTAGGAGATATTGTTGATAGCGCAG